ATTTGCTGGCACCTTGATCAAGGACTTCTGGCCTCCAGAACTGTGAGAAAATATGTTTTTGTTGTTTATGCCACCCATTCTGTGGTATTTTGGTATGGCAGCCTGAGCAGGAGGAATGTACAAGGCAGATGGATTTGAGGATGGGGCAACATTCCAGGTGCAGGGAACAGCCTGAGTGAAGGTATGGAGGTGGGAAAGTGCACAGCATGTCTAGAGAATCATAAATAATGTAATGCCTGGGCACTCTTCTGGAGTACGAAGGCAAAGATACACAATGACAGGTGGTGGTGAGGGGAGGGGTGGGTGGTGACACACAGAAGCTGTGGGATGCCATGCTGGAGAGTTTGGGTTTATCTGCTTGGCATGGCAGTGCCCCTGGTTTGCCTCTGAGCAGGACAACCTGCAAACCATCACGGTGGCAGTGGTAGGAAGATGGATGGGAGGAAAATTAGTTAGAGGAGTCCTAATAGCCCAGTAAAAAAGGGTGTGGTTCTGAAGTAGGACAGTGGGAATGGAGAGGGGGGCAGTTTAGGAAGTGGAAGAAGAGGACGGCAGAGAGAGAGAGAGGTGGGAGAATTGTACCTGGGTTTTGTTGGAATGCCTGGGTGGATGGCACTTGGCATATTTAGGCCATGTTTAATGTGACTTGAATATATACATAGATTTCATTTAGGAAATCTATGTAAAGGAAAAGCATTTAGAATTCTCAGAGTTCACAGAAAGATCAGGAGGAGGTGTGCTCCTATCCCAGGTCTGCAGGTTTGGCTAACTGGATGCTGTGCCGTTTGGGAGCCAGCAGGGTGGGAACAAGGTGGCCAGGAGGCAGGAGGAGGGTCTGCAGGCAGGCTGCACTCGTGACATTATGCTTCTTAATGGGATGCTGGTTTTGCCCTCTGCTTCCTCTCCTTTTTTTAAGAAACCTGAAAGCTGGGCCAGGGAGTTTACAATGGCCTTTTGGGAGAAGGGGGTCAAACTTGGTAACTACCTGGCTTAGGCAAAGAACCTGACCGGAGTCTTGGTTCTGATCCAACTTTCCATATACCTTTGAGTGAATCATTTACTGTCTCTAGGCCTTCATCTTACCTTTGCAAAAATGAACCATTATGGCTAAATGATCTTTAATTTCCAATTTAGCACTAATAGTGTATGTATCCACGTTTAACCAACCTATGTAAAAATGTACAGATTCAGGAGGAAGATTAAAGTCTCATTTCCAAGGAAAATAGCTAAATCAGTCCAAAACAACAAACTTTAACTCCTTTGTCATTTCCAAGAAGCTTGGACTCATAGACTCATCGGGAACTCTAGAGAGAAGAGGATATTTGAAAGCCACCCAGTCCAGTCTGCTTATTCTATACTCGAAGAGGCTGAAAAATAAGAAAAGCACTGTCCATGGTCAGACAGTTAGTAACAGAGTTAATGTAACAGTTAATAGTTGATCGAGCCAAGTCTCCTGACTGGGTTCCCTGGGGGCTTTTAACTACCGGGTTATGCACTGCACAGCTCTGTAGACACTGATGTGAGTGGTTCCCCTGGAATTATGCAAGGCTAAGGCCCTGCTCCTTACTTCATTTTTGGCCCTCCTTTAACTCTATGTATCTAATTGTTTAAAATGCCTCTTCTACGCCTCTGAATACTTGGAACCCTCTCTTCCTTCCTTTTACCTGCCTGGTGGAGTTCTATTTATCCTGTAAAACTCAGTACAAATGCCACCTCTCTGGTCTACTTTCTTCCTTTTGTACCTACCCCTGGGGCTGTATATACTTAACATAGTACGTGAAAATTGCTATCTTACTTACCTCCCTACAGGTGATCCAATAGGGATGGGAACCATGTCTTATTTATCTACTTTTAACATCTAGCCCAGGTGCTCAGTTAATGTCTGAATTAATGAATACAACAGATACATGATGGAATGAATGTACTGAGATTTGCTGGAGAATATAGCATCAAACAGAAAAGGCTTAGGAAGCCATGTCCCATGAGGTGTAAATGAGACCAGGGTTTTCCTCTCATCTGGTTATTTCTTGGACCTACAGGTCATCACCCTCATTAAGGACAGCTCCCTAAGCTGTAAGCAGGAAATGCCTTAGTATCAGGCCCAATGGCCCATATTGAAGACATAATCCTTTGGCCCATGACTCACCAATGGATTCCAGAAGGCTCAGTGTGGGTGGCCCTCCTCAATCAATCAATGGTTGGGCGTCCCAGCTTGTGATTGGATCCTCTCTCTGCCACCCAAGCTTATAGGGTCTCTCAGATGGAGCCTGTATGGAGACCTCTGGCCATCAGGCCTGCTCAGTTTCTAACCACCCACGAGGAGACTCAGGGAAGCGTCCATAAAAGCTCACTTTATGACCACTGACACCTCCTGAGCATGGTCATTATGATTATTTAACATTTATGAGACACTCTCAGTGCAGTGGGGGCAAGGGAAAGGCAGTTTGGCAGCCTCAACACAAACGGAAGTTTCTCTGTAACTCCATCAAGGTGCTTCTTCCTAGCCAGATTAGTTCATTTACAGTTATGTTCAGGAGCTTATACAAGCCAGGGCAAAAATCACTTAATGCATCCTGTATAATGTTTAACCTAAGCATTTCCAGGAGAGCCTCCACTAACCAAAATCAAACAAAGGAGAACCTTCAATTAACCAGATTTGGATTTTTGCCCTTCTATTGATTGTTCTCTGAGTAAAGTTGATGTGCAAAGTCATTCATTCTTTCTCATTCAATAAAATATATGGGCTTCTGTTTTTCTGCCAGATATAGAGAGAAATAAGACAGCCTGTTCCCCCAGATAACTCAATCTGTAGCAAAGACAGGCATAGAAATGAAAATGCAATATTACAGGTGATGTGTAAGAGCCAAGTTCATAGAAGAGTAGAGGCCCAGAGGAGGAAGTGGTCAACTTACCCTACCAGATAGGTGACAGGCTAGCAAGGCCTTGCAGAAAGAAAAGCCCAAGGCAGCATTTGATGACAACTTCAGAGTAGGTGGATGTGGACCTTATAGGGAGAGAGAATGACTGAGCAAAGGTAAGGAAGGGTGAAATGGCATAGTATATTCAGGGAACCCCAAGCCATACACACAGGCTGAAATCTACAGTTGAGGGACAAGGTGTAGCTGAGATTATAAAGCTCCTTGCTCATCACTAGAGAAGTATGGCCATGACTGCTGTATTTGGAAACACTGGTCACTCTTATTGGAATGCTCTCCTCTTCATTTGGGTGACATCACACTGATGGAGCAGCTCCTACCTCCCTGGCCACTCCCCCTCTGTTATTTGCATGGGATTGTCTTTTTCTACCCATCCTTTAATGCCAGTGTTCCTCAGGGTTCCCTTCACAGTTTTTCTCACTGTAGACCCCTCTGCAGAATTTTCCCACTGTAGTGATCCCCCAAATGATATCTCTCATCCAAATGAGTTCTTTCTTGAGCTTTTAGATGTGTCAATAGATCTACCTACCTAGTGAAGTCTCTTCCTGATGGTGACAGACATCTACTTCCTAAACCACCATTCATTCTATATTTCCTATGCTTATGAAAAGCACCAATATACAGCCACTCAGACTTGGTACCATCTTAGACTCCTCACTTTCCCTCATAAGTCACATCTAGTCCATCAAAGATTCACTGATGCATTCATTCATTCATTTGACACTTATTCAGCTCTTACTGTTTGCCAGGGCATTGACTAGCAGGTGGTGCTAAAGAGATGAGTAGACTAGAGGTCTGGCCCTTGGGGAACATACAGTCAAATGAGAAGAAATCCCCATGGACAGGTGGCTGTCACTCTGGGTGTACAAAGTAACAAGAGAGGGATGCAGAGAATGACTTACCCAGATCCTAGAAGGTGCCATGGAGAAGGCACCCTAGCCATGGTGGGCTGGGGTCGGGTGAGGGAGGTCTGGCGTAGCTTCCTCAGGGAGATGATATTTGTGTCTCAAAGTATGAGTAGGGGTTAAGTGGGGTTGGAAGATGGTGAGGGAAAGAGGCATGCCAGGAAGTGGGAACAGCCTGAGCAAATGAACAGAGGTGAGAAATGGCATGTTGTGGTGTTAGCTACAAGCAGGATGGAGCTACTGAAGACTAGAGTGGAAGGCAAAAGTGGTAGAAGATGAGGAGATGAGTTTGGGATAAGCAGGGCCTATTTCTGTATCATTCCCATATTTGAATGATGTGCAAAGGCAGCTGACTCTGCTTGAGAAATGTCTCGGTATCACTTCCTCTCCATTCCTGGAGCACCTGCCTTCAGTCAGGCATCATCACCTCGCTGGTGGCCTTCTTACCAACCCAACCTACCCCTGGGGTGATCTTTTTCTAGCTCAATGATAAGCCAATATCAGTGTTTTTTAAGAGCAGAGAAGAGGAAGTAGGCTTAGGGAGATAAGAGTTTTCCATTTTAGACCAGTTTTGAGATATTTTACCCAAAAATGCCTTGTAAGCTTGAAAGATTTTTTCACATGGGGGTGCTGACTGTAGTTCCTGGATCTTACCTTGACCTCTCCTGGTCAACTCCATACCCTTGACTTGGGCACAGAGGCCCGAGACAGAACGCAGGGCTGTTTCACAACGTGGACAGCCAGGGTTGAGGTCACGGCGATCTGTAGACTGAGAGGAGGCCTTTGTTACCTTTGCTGACCCACAGGCTGCAGGCTTCTGCTCTCTGCCATTTCCTTGGGATATGCAACAAACCCCCATCCACACCAGGTAGGGAGGAGCTTCTTGAGCTCTGCCCTTCCTGCCTTCATTCCCTTCTATCTCCACGCGTTTCTCATTACCGGGCTGATGGAAGGGGCTGCTGCTGTGGTTGGTGGACTTATCATCACTCTGTCCCTCTCCAACTCAGTCCCCATAGAAAGCTTAATGATCTTAATGGGAAAACAGCTTGGAAGGAAAACATGAATTCTCAGGGAAAAATGGATTTTAGGGCTATGTCTAAATAATGATTCTCTTTTTTCTTTCTTTCTTTGTTTTGCTTTTGTTTATTTTGTTTCAAAGGGCAGGTGTTTCCTGTTGTCTTTGGACAGAGCGGCATCTCTCTTGTGTTTTTTTGGAGTAAATGAGATGTGGCTGGCCTGAGGGCGAGGACATGAGCATGGATTCAACCCGGAACCACTTCTTGCTTGTCTGTAAAAGACTGGACTAGATTGAAGTTTCCCTTATGTCTGAGCATCTGAGATATGATTCTGAGGGTCAGTTCATTGCAGAGGCATCACCATGAATGGTAAAAGCCCTGGGTCAGGAGCCCTGCTCTACTTGTCAGCTGTGAGATGCTGGGCAACTCAGTTCACCTCCCTGCATCAAGATTTTCCTATCTGTCAAAGGAAGACCATTATCTTGTTGGTGTAATTTTCAGGCTGTTGTGAAGATCAAATGGAAACGCCAAAGTGTAATCTGTAAAAGCCTGTGCGCTTGCAGGGAACATGGGCCTAATGGTGACTCTGCCTGGCCAGCTAATCACCAATTCAGGGCAGCAAATCTGGCCTGCAACATGGTCTGTGTGGACAGCCAGGATCCCTCCTCCGTGGGGCACAGACTTCCTCCTCTGTACCCTGAGTGCCGTGGTAACTATCTCATAAAGTCGTAGTGAAGAATACGGAACGTAATCCCATTCACCTCTTCCTCCATCATCTGTCCTCTGCTCACCCAACAAACTTGTATTGTGTATGGGCTCTTCACCAGTCTCCGTGCTGAGCGCTGGGAATACGGGAGTGAATGAGACATGGTCTTTTCCTCTAGAAAAGCATAGTCCAGGCACAGAGACACCCACTAACAAAAAGTTATAGGACAATGTGGGATTCAGGGAAACCCCTGTACTTGAGGTATTTGGGAGCTCAAAGGAGAGCAGCATCTAGCTGAGCCTGGAGGTCAACAAGTCTCCTTGGAGGAGACGGCACTTGAATGAGACTTGAAGGATGAATCAGCCAGGTGAAGGGGCATGCACAGGAGAGGTGAGTCACCACCCAAAGAGCCCAGCATGGAATGTTCTTTCTCTAACTTCTTGTGGCTTTCTCCCGGCATTTCTTTCCGGCATTTTCTCTGAGCACCTGAGCCATTCTCTCTCCCTTTATTCTGCTTTTTATCACTTGTCATGACCTGAAAACATATTATATATATATGTTTGCATACTTACAGTCTTTCTTCCCTATTGGAATGTAAGCTCGGTGACAGGGACCTTGTCTCTCTTGCTCAGTACGTTGTCCCCATGACTTCAGGCCTGATGCTGTATTCGTTTGCTTGGGCTGCCATTTAGCTTCTGCAGACTGGGTGGTTCCAACAACAGAAACTTATTTTCTCATGATTTTGGAGGCTGGAAGTCTCCAATCAGGGTATCAGATTCCTTTGGAGGACTGCGAAGAAAAATCAGCTCTATGTCTTTCTCCTGGCTTTTGGCGGTTTGCTGGCAATTTCTGGTGTTCCTTATCTTGTACACACAGCACCCTGATCTCTGCCTTCATCTTCTTGTGGCATTACTTCTGTGTATGTGTGTGTGTCTGTGTCCAAATTTTCCCTTTTTATAAGGACACAATTCATACAGGATTAGGGCCCCACCCTATTCCAGTTTGACCTCATCTTAACTAATTACATCTTCAGTGACCCAATTTCCAAATAAGATCATATTCCAGGGCACCGGGGGCTAGGGCTTCAAGGTAGGAATTTGGAGCAGATACAGTTCAACTCACGAAAGACACATAGTACATAGCCAATTTATATTTGATGAAGGAAGGAATGAATGGATAAAGGCACAGAGGCAAGAATTAGCATGGTGCCCATGGGAAGTGTTGGATTGTTTAGGATTCTTGGAGCTGCATGAGCAATGCAGGGATTGGTGAGAGCTGACATTCAAGAGGTATGTGTACCTCCCCCTTAGCACATGGGAAGCACTCAGAAATAGTTGCTATGATTTTCATTTGTATTGGTCGTTAGATGAATACATGACTATCTCTGTGGCAATTCATCCCTGTTCCTAGAAGACTCAATTCACAGCACAGCAGAGTTGAGGGTCAGTGATTTGGGCCAACACCATCCTGTTTACAGAGGTCCACATGTGTACCAGCCTACTCAGCAGATCCTGGAGGTCCACGTCTTGTACGAGGCCTTCTAACCTGGTCATCTTTCCTTACATCTCAACAATAGGCTGCCTTCTGCCCTCTGATAAACAGCCTATCATTCATGAGCTGGGATCAGTGACAGGTTGGCAGGGGTTCCGGAACATTTCCTTTAGAGTCATAACCACTGAGAACATAATTTTGATTAATCAACCCTTGTGATACAGCATGGGCAAGGCAACAGAACATAAATAGCAAAGGAAACCAAGATTAATGTGGAAATGTTCCTAAGCTATCAGGATAGGAAGCTGCGAAGGAGCCGAGGGGGTTCCTTGGAGAATGAGCTGGAAGTCAGAGGGTGATAACCTCATAGTGGAATGAAAAAGGGCTCTGGTTGTTGACCACCTGACATGAATCCAGCCTCTGTCACCTACTAGCTCTGGGATCCAGGATAAGCCATATTCCCACTGTGAATCTCAATTTCCCCAACCCGAAGGTAGCAATGATATGACTCACACCATTGTAAAAATGAGAGAGAATGCATGAGAGTTAAACACAGAGCCTGGCATTTAGCAAGAACTCAATGCATGGTAACAACAATACTAGCCCACACAAACTGAATGCTTATAGTGGACAAGGCATTATTCTAAGTGATTTAATCCATGAGGTAGGTGTGATCATAAAGCTCATTTTGCATTTGAGGAAACTGAGGTTCAGGGAGTTTAAGTAACTACCTAGGTTCAAATAACTTTTAAGTGATGGAGTTGAAATTCAGACTCAGGCACTCTGCCCTAGAGCCCATGCTTGTAATGATTATGTCATGTACTTGTTGGCATCAGTATATTCTTTAGCTGTAAGGTGAGAATTTGGGGCATTAACCAAGAAAACTGGAAATAAGGTAAATAGCAAAAGTTAATAAACAATTCCCAGGTGGTTATCTCACTTAACCCTCACATGCAGTCTGGAAAACATATGCACATCTGCATTTCAGAAATAAGGAAACCAGGACTCATAAGTATTGCATAACTAAGATCCAATCCAGTTCTCTTCGGGCCTGAAGCTCAAGCTCTCTCCACCATTCCTACTGTCTCCAAGAAATTCACTCAAGGTTACATAGAAGGGGCTGCATGCCGTCCAGAGCCCTATTCCTAAGGGGAGACTAAAACAGGCTCTTCCTGACTTGTGTCAGAACTGACAGTGAGATAAGGAGGACCATTAACAGGTTCACAGGACACTGGGTCCAACATGAGGAACAGAGCAGACTCCCAAAGGAAATCAAGAAGGCAATAGGAAAAATACTACGGAGGCTTGATGGTCCATGAAGTGCAGAGGAAACATGAGTGAGTAAGGAAGATGGATAGGAAAGCCTATATTTAAAACTGGCTGGAGGTAAGGAAGGAAGCGATTGACCTAATTTTAGAATACCTCAGACTTTGAGGCTCGAAGCTATCAGACTAGGAACTTGGGTGAGGATTAGTTGCCATTTATCATCTACTGGTCTCCAGAGGAAGAGTTGAGACTAATTCAGCTCAAAATCATCCCCCCGTGGAGTAGTAAAAGGATGAACTTTGAAGTTGGATAGGCAGACCTAGTGTGGAGCTGCATTTGATCAAGCAACTCCTTTCCCCTCTGTGAGGCTTGGTTTCCTCATCTATAAAATGGGATGATAGTATTGCCTACAGAATTTCTGTTAAGAATTAAATGAGCAAAGGTTGAAAGGGATTAATAAATTGCTTGGCCCATGGTAGGTACTTGATTAATGTTCATTGAATGAATCTTACAGGGAGATGAAATGTTTGTATAAGAAAGTCTTCGTTGAATCTCGATTAGAGTATCATCCATATTCTAATTCCTTTAGATCTGGTAAGAGGTTTAATGTCTACTGTCTTTCACCTTTCCCTATTCAATGCCTACTACACTGTTGACGCTCTAAGAATGCTTAGTAATTGCATGAAAATGAATGCATGTATCAAACCCTGGCATAAAATAATGTTGCTAATTCATAATGCACTCTGGAGTTTACATTATAGGACTTTAATACCATCATCTTTTTTTCCTTCAAAATTGTGAAATCCTAATTTTTTTCTGATTCTAAAAATAATATAAGTTGGTTAAAAGTAATTTTATTAATTCAGGATGATACGAAGTAGCAGTGGAAGAATACTCCCTAAATCTGACTTCCCAGACATGATCATTTTTTGTTATGTGTATTTGCTTCCAGACTTTATTCTGTGTTCATATAAATATATATGTGGCATTCTACCTACACACACAAACACACATGTGCCTTAGGGCAGATCCTGATTTTTAGCTGAGCACATTGCCACCTGGAATAAAGACTACATTTCCTGGCCTCCATTCCCACGAGGTGTATGTACATGGCTTAAGTTCTGGCCACTAGCACATAAACAGACTGGTGCAGCAGCAAAAATGTTGCTTAAGGAGGCTTATTCAGATGGAACATGAGTCCTTTTAGCCTTTTTCCTTCCTCCTCCTGGCCTACAAAACAGGTAAGATGATAGAGTTACAGCAGTCATTTCTTAAGCCATGAGGGCACCCTGAGGATGGAAGCCACATCTTGGAGATCAGAATAAAATATCTGAGTTTTTGATGACTTAAAAGGATAGCCATACCAGTTGTGACAGCCCTTTCCCAGGCCATCTTTAACATTGGAGAATAATTCTCTGTGATTTTAAGCCACTGTGATGAGGTTTTCTGTTACTGGTATCTAGATGTAATTTCTAAATGAAACACAGTTCTTCCCCACCCCTGCCACTTAACTGTATATAACATAGATTTTTCCATTAATGCACAAAAAAATTATATTCTTGTTCATGATTACACAAATAATCCATTGCAAAGATTTTCCATAATTTACTTAATTCCTTATTGATAAAACTCGTAAATTCTTTGCAGTTTTTGGAAAATTATAAATACTATGGACATTTTAATATTTTCCTAGGATAAGAAGGGAATTTTAGGGCTAAGAGATTTGTGCATTTTTAAATTGGTAAGTAATGAAATTGATAAAGAATTGCCAGATTGCCTCTAGAAAAGTTGTTCCAGCTATACTTCCTTAGGTAGAATTTTTAAAAAGTTTATGACGTATTTCACCCATTCAAGGCACAAAGAATAGCATAAAAATCACCTATGTACAGTAGCCCCCTCCTTATCCATGGTTTCGCTTTCTATGGTTTCAGTTACTCACATCAGGAAGCAAACAATCCTCCTTCTCAGGATGAGAAAAGCAGCCTAAGGCTACAACACAATGCCTACAGCATTCACCTCACTTCATTGTATCATATGGGCATCTTATCATCTCACATCATCAGAAGAAAAATGAGTACAGTACACTAAGATATTTTGAGAGAGGCCACTGTCACATAACTTTTATTACAATATATTGTTAAAATTATTATATTTTATTATTAGTTGTCGTTAATCTCTTACTATGCCTCACTTATAAATTCAACTTTTTCATTAGGTATATATGTATAGGATTTGGTACTATTCGTGGTTGCAGGCATCCACTGGGGGCTCTTGGGACGCATCCTGTAGATGAGAGGAGACTGCTACACTCACTATCCAGTTTAAAAAGTAGAGCAGTCCCACAATCTCCTGAAGTGCTGGTGTGTCTCATTCCAAGGGCATCACCCAACTCTTCTGGCCCAGCTGGCTAGGGCCCCTCTGCGTCTTTCTACAGCACTTGTGGTCAAGGAGGGAATCTGTAGAATTCTTTCACTCCCTGCTACCCAAAATGAATGTGTTGCTTCATACAATTTAAATGTCCTGGGGCAGAACTTGGGGAAAGGACGCTTCAGAGAGTCCTCAGAAACCCATCTCTCTTCCTCCCCAGGCCTCCTTTCCTCCTTGCTTGCTTCATTCTCGGTTTCCACACAGTGGCAGAATGGCAGCTGGGACCTTCTGGCTTCCATTCTCTGCATTTCCATCCAGCAGAAAAATAGAGCATCTTTGCAGTAAGTCCCGTGTAAAACCTGGATTCACTTTGATTAGATTAACCAGAGTGACAGGCCAATCCTGAATATATCTAGCTCCCACTATCAATTTGTCATCTGGAATCTATCAAACCCTCTAATGCTTATTTATATTTTCTGCCAATATTGGGAGAACAAACCCCAGGGTCAACTACCTTTTTGGTAATGTGGTCCCTGGCAGAGAACTCAAGAAGAACCATCCGTAACATTTACTGAGTGATATAATATGCTGGCACCTTATCTCATTCAGTCTTCCCAACAAATCTGCCTAATGGGCATTTTATAAAGGAGGAAAATGGAGGCTTAGAGAAGATAATTGAGCTGAGTTCATACAGCTTGTGTGAGTTGGGACTGGGATTCAGCCTGGGTTTATCTTACTCCAGTGTCCAGTGGAGACCCAGCCAGGCCAGCAACAGGCATGTCTACCTCACAAGGGTGTTGTAAACTGTAGATGAACCCACTGTAAACTGAAGCACTTCACAAACACTAGATCATTCAACTTATGGATACATCCTAAATTTACCTCCTTTGCACCCTCTTCCTCCACCCCTGCCCTGGGGAAGGGGACAGTTTGGTAATTGTTCCAGTAATCCTGAGCAAACAGATTAAGTAAAGGGCCAGGGAGACAAGTTACTCCCTGAACTATGTTTTCTTTATTTCCACAAAGATGTTTCTGAAAGCATATCTAAAACTGTTCAGGATTTTAAGGGGAATATAAAACACCTTTAGTAAGTATTTTCGCTGGGCAAACAGTGGGAGGACCCTCCGCAGTATGATGGGAAGAGGTAGGATTCGGGGTGGACAGCTGGGTTTCCAGCCTGCCTCCACTGTTGCTGGCCCTACTTTGCCTTGGAGCAGGCCCAGTCTCCTTGCTGGACTCAGTTTCCCCATTAGTTCAATGTGGGGTTTGGATAAAAACATTGCCCAACCTAAAGTTTTCCATGTATAGAATAATTATGGGGTGAGGGTGGTGAAGAAGGGATGGTGACCCCAGACTCACCAAAGGTCAGCCGTGAGTCTCAGGAGGATAGGAAAATACCTTCCACTGACTGCCAAGCAGCCTCCTTGTGGGTTGAGAAGCTGAGGAATGGGACCCTAGGGGTTTTCCTGACTCTGGAAATACATAGCTTGAGTTATTCCCCAGCTCAAAGCTTTGCGACTCCTGTAAGGAGTTGCTTGGAGTACCTGGCCAAACTCCAGGTCCAGTGTGAAGAAAATAGGTCATCAGCAAAGGACTTCAGTGTCCCGTAAACTGGCTTCCTGGAGCGGAGTGCTCACTCCAGCATAAGGGAGCTGTTAGCGAGAAACCCAGCTTTTTTCTAGTCAGCGGTCAGGAAGCCTGCAGGAGATGCAGGAGGGTGAGCACTAGACCAGGAGGCAGGGGTTCTTGCCTAGGATCTGTCTCTCACCTGGCAAGTCACTCCCTCTTTCTGGGCCTCATTTTCCTCATTATTGATGTGCTCTGGGACTTTCTAGCTCACATGGAAAACGTGAGGAAATTAAGTACACAGATTCTGGAGAACCACCTTGCCGAGTTCTGACCCAGCCTTGCTGGTCGCTGTCTCGGTGTCCTTCAGGAATTTGTTGAAAGTCTCCGTGCCTCCATTTTCTCACCTGTAAAACAGGACTGCTCAGTGGACACCACTGATTAAATGTAAGCCACTTCAAATAGTGCCTGGCATAAAGTAAATGCCCTACAGGTACAAGCCTTCATGTGACCATCACCCGTTCCACAGCACACACGTGGAGGGGATAGGGGAGAGGTTTGCAATCTCCTGGGGTGTGGGAGGGCCCCATCTAACCACCTGCCAAGCCCCTTTCCCCTTACCTGGTCTTCCTTCCTCTGGTTTCACATGCTGCTTTACTCAACTTTCCTGCAGCTTGTAAGCTGAGCCATCCTTCTAGAATGGAGATCTGTCGGTGTCACGGCGGTGGCTCCTCACGCTCCTCAGGATAAATAACAAACCCCTGACAGGTTGTCTTCTGGGTGGCCCCCTGCAGCTTGCCCTCTCCCTTTGCCACCCTGCTCTGTGACCCCTAGGGAGTGTGTTTCCAGCTGGGTTCAGCCAATGCAGCCCCCAGAGGTGGAAGGGGCAAGGAGAGGAGTCAGAACATTTACCTTCTGCTTCACTCCTGCCAGGTCCCCGTAGAGGGCTGTGCCCCTCTACCAATAGATATCTTAGACAATACTGTAATTGTTAGATGTGTTCCACATTATTACATCAACAGTGTGAACTTCTGACAGAGGCAAAACTGAGCACCATAGTATAAAAATAGAAAGACCATGCTTGATGAAGGACAACAAAAGTTCACTAAGGATATGTGATTTATTTGCGAAGTTCTTAGGCCTCTTCCTCACCCTCCTCTTCCTCAAACTCCCCTTGATCGTCGGCCGTGGGGACCTGGTACTGCTGGTGCTCGGATACCAGGTCGTTCATGTTGCTCTCAGCCTCAGTGAACTCCATCTCATCCATGCCCTCGCCCGTGTACCAGTGCAAGAAGGCCTCGCGCCGGAACATGGCCATGAACTGCTCCGAGATGCACTTGAACAGCTCCTGGATGGCCTTCCCCGTGCTCCTCCCTGCCCTCCCCTGGGTACTTCAGGCTGCAGGGTGGTGACGGTCCCTAGCTCACAGGGGCTGCACCCATGACTGATTCTCCTACTCCCTGCCCTCAGTTTATGTGAAGTTCCTTTCTTAAGCTTTTCTTAAGTCACTCAGGTGAGATGCCATCTCTTTCTGCTGGGACTCTGCCTGAGACACAGCTTACAGGGCCCTGCACGAAAGGCCCCTGCTCTGTGCCCCCGCACCCCAGTGCTGCCACTTCTCTCCACCATTCACATGCCCCAGCCTCTTCTCACCCCAGGGCTTCCCCATGACGGGAGCTTCAGCCGGTGTTACTTTGCTACTTGGTACCCACTTCCACCGAGAGGCCTTCTTTGATATCGTTGGGTTGGGTCAGAGCCCCTCCTCTGGTTTCAGTGGCCCCTTTGTACTCCCTCCATCACAGCCTGGACCACGGTACACTGAACTTGTCTGCCTTTCCTGCCAGACTAGTAACTCCTGAAGGCAGGAACCATGCAGAGGAGAGTGAGGCAGCACAGCAGGGAGGGTAAGAGCCAGACGTGAGCAGCACTGCCTGGGTTGATATTTCAGCTCTTCACTTCTCAGCCGTCTGTGGAGCCTTAAGCAAGACACTTCACCTCTGCAGGAACATTTGCGCAATCTGCAAAACGTGGTGATCAAACTAGTTTTTTAGCTAAACTGTTTAGTTTTATCTGCACTAATTTTATTTTTTACTGAACTACTTCACATACATTAAAAAATCTAATATGTAGAATTATTAACGAATTTGGTATATGGAATTAGCCCCCAATAAACATTAGGTATTATGGTCAGTTTGTGACAGTGCTGGCTCAATAAGTAGAGAATGAATGGATTCTATCTCACAGGTGTATCCTTGCACAATAGTGTACTTTCCCATTTCATTCTTCCAGCAGCCTGGCGAGGAAAAGAAAGTAGAAGTCCTATAAGCTCTTTACAAATGAGGACACTGTTCTTAGAGGAACTTTCCCAGGGACCCACACCTGACACAGAGCTGAGGAGCAAGCGGGGCCTGAGCGTTGAGAGCCCCCCCTGGGAGCCCTTTGCCTCAGCTGCCACAGCAGTGAGAGGGTCCAAGCAGTTTGCTCTGGGAGACTGGCGGCCACAGAGTTGGTAGGATCCAGGGTCTTTAGAGGCATTCACTTTGGTCACTTTCCCTGAAATTCTCTGAGTCACCTTAGGGATTTTCCAAGCTATACGATCCTGGAGGGTTTAAAAGAAAAGTCCAGTGTGTTGCAAGTTTTGAAACCAGCTGCGCGTACATGCTCTGCTGGCCCAGGCCTCTGTCTGAACCCAGGAAGTGCGACTCAGAAGGGAAATGAGCCTTAATATTTCAAGAATAACAATAGTATTAATTAATGTAAGGTTTGTAAGAACTCTGGACATTTATCCAGTGCTTCTGGGAGTGCAGTCAGTTCTCCAGAGCAGCTAGGCTGGGCGTGCTGTTTTTTGATCAATGGCCCCTGTGTCTTTCGTCCTTGTCAGTGGAGATTCTATGCAGCTCCCGAACGCCGGAACCCAGCTCCGTGTCTGACACGCCAAAGGAGCCCCGCAAATGATGGAGCGACTGGCAAAAGATGAGAATGAATCTAATGTTCTAAGTCCCCACACAACAATGTTTTACAGATAGGGAAACTGAGGTTGGGGAGGTTCAATGCTTTGGCCAAGGTGACACAGGTAGTAAGAGGAAAGACAGGGACGTCGATGAGGATCTTCCTGCAGCCTCATGGCCTCATGGGGAGCAGCCGAAGTATTCAGGTTGTGTATCTGGGGTCAGATCCCCAATCTGCCAACTACCTGCTATGTGATTTTGAATAAGTTACTCAACTTCTTAGCCTCAGGGGCCTGAATTGGTGAAGTGGGCAGGGTAACAATAAATACTTTATGGAGTTGTTTCAAGGATTAGTGTGTGTGTGGGGACTGGCAGATCGGCACAAAGAAAAGTGCCCCTAAATGGGTTACTATTATCATTGTCCTCACTGTCCTTACTCTTCTTTTCATTGTTATTATTTTTATGATTATGTAAAAAAACACTGTGGTATCAGTTATTTTTAGTATTGAACATGTGCCTTGCATACATTTGGTCTGCAGCAAATTAGTTCCTTTCCTTTCTTGGGGTCAGTCTGTTGCAGCTTCTACTATAACTGGTGAGCCCAGGACTGAATGCTTGTCAGCCCTGACTCTTGCAGATGCTGGGGGCATGGAGAAGGGTGAAAAAGTTAGGGGTGATGAGCTGGTATGACATTAATGCATAATGTCATACCAGCAGAAAATATCACTCGGCTTCTCAGCAAGCCCAGAATCAACTCATACAAGCCCCCAATATTCTCTGCTCCCACCTTTTCCTGCTATGGCAGAGTGAGATGGCTACACCAGCTATTTCAGGGACTTTCCAAGAATTTCTTGAAGTTTCTTGCTTCTCCCAACACTCTCCTATCTTAGTTGCCCACCCAACCATTCGCTAGTGACTGACATAAACCCCTTTGGTGTCTGCTGAGATAGTTTCCCTTTACAAAGACAGCTCGATGGCCAGCAAGTTAAACAAGATTTATTTGTAGTCCAAGCAGGAGCCAGGTCATTTCTCCAGCATGTAGAGACTGTTTTGACAGTCCTCCACTGTCTCACGTTTATAAACCTGGGAGGGACTTGAGGTATTTTCATGACACAGAAGGGGAAACTGAGGTTGAGCGAGCAAGTGATTTGCTCCAGATCACACACTAGTTAATGGTGGGGTTAGGAAGAAATCCAGACTTTGGGATTCATCACCAGTGAGGCAGCAGGATGGGGTGGGCAGTGAGAACCAGCCTGGGCTTAGCCTGGTTCTATTTATTACCTGTGGGACCTTGGGCAAACACTACAATACGCTGAACCTCAGTTTTCTTACCTGTAAAATGGGCATAATTGTGTCTTTCTCACAGGAACAGTAGAAGGAATAATGGAAAGGATGTCACCTAGTATGGTGTTTGGCATAAAATAAGTCTCCTTTCCCTCCTGCCCCACTTCCTCGCTGGAATGAATGGGGGCTTTGGAATCACACAGTCCTGAGTTCAAATCCTGTGTTTACCTGGAAAAAATATTAACTTTCTGGGGTCTCGCTTTTTCACATCTTTGAGACGGCAACAGGAGCCATCATATTGAGGGGTCTTTGAAGAATTCAAAGAAATGCTAGATGAAACATGAGGTGTTTCTAGACAAAGCTTCTTTTTTTTCCCTTCCACCACCCTCTAGGATTCATTCCCGAGCATCACAGATCAGCATTCCCCAGCCTCAACCTAAGATGCGGGAGAGTGTGTGTCTGTAAGTCTCCACCTCCTCTGGGCATGAAGCAGTACAGCCAGATTTTAGGCAGGCACAGAGTTCAGCCAGAGGAGCTGATGGCTCTGGGCACAGTAATACTCTCTCCCAGCCCTCAGGCCACTTCAGAACACGGATCCCCTGGGGGCCATCAAACCCAAAGAGGGCCACTGCAGCAGCTTCCAGAGGGGGTTTTGAGATGGGGACACATAAATAACCTTGAGGAGACAGCCTCTGGCTGCCCTTCCTTGTCGCCAGTAGTAAACATTGCGTTATTTAGAGAGACAGTTAGGTTTCAAACCACTTCATATTTAATCAGTAATCATGCTCCCTTCCAAAAGTCATTCCAGGAAAAACATCGGTTTAGTTTTTGACAAGAAACAAAGCTTTCTGAAAACTTGTACACACCACCCAGGTCTTGAGGGACAAACTCATGGCTGGTTTTGGGCCAGAAATGGCACCAACCGAGGACACTGGCTGAAACAGTGCATATATGCCTTGTGTTTCAGTTGTCCTGAGGAGCAGCAGTGCAAAGTTCAGGAATAGAGAGGTATGTGTGGGCTGTGTGGACAGAGAGACCTGCGTTCGAATCTCACCTCTGCCTCCCACAGGTTGGTGAGTCCACCAGGATTCACTGCAGCACCTTGTGCTTTCCTGTAGGAAAGCACACATGGGAGGCTACATGGGAGGCTGTGTGGAGGTGTAAATCAAATATGCTAATAAGTTAGGTTGACTCATATGAAATCACCACTTTTGAAAGTCAAAAATGATAGAATATTGGTGATTTCATATGCTTCAAGCTACTGTATAAAGTGCGTGGCACATTTGAATAGTCCCCAAATTGCACTAAGTGTTTACATAGTGAATCTCAAAACTTAGTAAGCATAAGAAGTGGGGAGGGGGACGGTGAAGACTTATGTGGAGCCTAGAAATCTGCATTTGAACAGACTTGTAATCCCCACTCTAGTGATTTGGATGAGCTGATGCTTAGTGCTCAGCTGAACTAGGCTTTGAACAAAGAAAATCTGGAGAGGATAGTAAACCACAGTTCCTTCTCCCATCCCCTTATTTTTTTCTTTTTTGATCCTGATAGGTAGGAGGCATGGTGTGCATGTGAGTATCTGTGTGTTTTTAAGACAGAGAAAGAATGGGAAAGAGAGCACTTGAGAATCCTTTCTGATAGCATTAAACTCTTAACCCTGATATTTGGGGCCTCTTCCCTTTTGCATTGCCCTGTATCCTAAATCTTTGCACCATGCTGAGATGGGAGTGTTGGTCAGCTCGTGTGTTTTATTCTCCAAAGCAGCCTCTAAGTTCTAATATTCAAGACACAGTGTCAGCTGTTTTCAAAATGTCCTTAACAGTTGTAGCGAGAGGAATTTGCCAGTGGAGAACTGTGAATATCAGACCTGGAATCATGTTGTGCATTCTCCTGATGCAGCCTGATCCCACCTTTCCCCAGGCCCCCCTCAGGTGAGGAAGGGACGCTCAGGAAGGCGATGGCACCTCCCAAGGTCACGCAGTGTGGTTTGGGGCAGAGGGAATTTGAACTCACGTCCTTGAAGGCTGAGCTTTGCTCTCCTGGGAGTGTGTAACTAACTTTACTTCACTCTGCTTATTTCTGTTATGACTTAACAAAATAGATTCTGAGTTGCATCAGTGTGAACCTACTTGGCTTGTCCCAGCTGCTCCTTGCTGTTGCAGTTCATGATGTACATACACTGCTGCCAGGTAAGACAGTCCTACTAACTTACCTGTTCATTCAGTACAGAGAACCCAGCTACAGTGAGCATATAGCGATGAGCACATGAAACAGAATTCTTACCCTCGTGAGCTCCACAGCACCGTATCCTCACTGTGTATGATCGTAAGAGCTATCAGGTAAGGGCAGTGGGACTTTGGGGTAGATAACAGGGAGGCCTGTTCTAGTTGAGGCTGGGGGAGAGTTGCCTGCTCCTTATTCTATGATGGGAACCCGGTAATGAGTCCAGGCTCCAAAAAGCATTTGCGGACTTTTATTAAATCCATGTGAGATTCAGACATTATGCTATCTCCATAGCTTAGCTGTAGAATGAGAAGAAAGAAGGATGAGGCCAGAAAGAGGTGCTGTTGGTAAAAGCCCTGTACCTCACACATTTGGAAAGAGCTCTATGTCTCCTTGGGGGCATTTCAAGGGTCCCCACTTCATACACATGGAAGTGAGTGCAGAGACTCTACTGATGTTAGTCTGGGGCTCTGTCCTCACTTCTGCAAGACGGAGACAAGAAGAACCTATCTCCCAGTCAAGGTTGTGGGAATTCGCTGAAGTAGCCTGTGAAAGTGCCTGGCACCAGCTCTTACCCTGTGGAACTGAGGAATATTCACTTGTTTCTTCCAGGAAATTTGCTGCGAACAATTTAGGCATGATGTGGCATGGGCGGGACTTCAGCTAGGCATTTCGACTCCTGGTCCGGAGGTCCCCATCCCCATTATACTGTGAGTCCATCTCATGGTAAGTGGTGGACAATTCTAGAAGATCTTAACTTTATGCTTTGAATTTGAACCTCATTTGTGAAACAGTAGGGATCCAGTGAAGCTCTTTGAGTTTGGAAGCATGTGACAAAGCTGCTTTTAGGTGATAAATACCAGGGTAAGTGTGGGGGTTGAGAAAGGATGAAAACTAGAGGCCAAGAGTCTTTTTTATTTTGGTGATCCCATGGATTCAGGTCTAGAGAAATACTCTACTCCTGAGCAGGGCAGGGAGAGCCTGGGAAGGACAGACAGAGAGTGGTCATCTTCCCCGCCAAAGCACTTAGTGGCTGCCTGGGTAATCTGAGCCTGCTCCCGATTTACTTTACGTGACCCCTCAGCTGCGCCCGCAGCAGCTGCCTCAGTGTCCGGGGTCAGAAAGCTACATGAATTGCTCAAGATCATGCTGCTAGTACAATAGCTAAGTGACAACTATTCAGGAATAGAGAGGTATGTGTGGGCTGTGTGGACAGAGAGACCTGCGTTCGAATCTCACCTCTGCCTCCCACAGGTTGGTGAGTCCACCAGGATTCACTGCAGCACCTTGTGCTTTCCTGTAGGAAAGCACACATGGGAGGCTACATGGGAGGCTGTGTGGAGGTGTAAATCAAATATGCTAATAAGTTAGGTTGACTCATATGAAATCACCACTTTTGAAAGTCAAAAATGATAGAATATTGGTGATTTCATATGCTTCAAGCTACTGTATAAAGTGCGTGGCACATTTGAATAGTCCCCAAATTGCACTAAGTGTTTACATAGTGAATCTCAAAACTTAGTAAGCATAAGAAGTGGGGAGGGGGACGGTGAAGACTTATGTGGAGCCTAGAAATCTGCATTTGAACAGACTTGTAATCCCCACTCTAGTGATTTGGATGAGCTGATGCTTAGTGCTCAGCTGAACTAGGCTTTGAACAAAGAAAATCTGGAGAGGATAGTAAACCACAGTTCCTTCTCCCATCCCCTTATTTTTTTCTTTTTTGATCCTGATAGGTAGGAGGATTAGCTTGGCGTGGTGTGCATGTGAGTATCTGTGTGTTTTTAAGACAGAGAAAG